TTATAGGGTCACAGAGGCGTGAAGAAGTTAGAGCGTAAACGGGCATTACAGATCTTTTCTGTGTGGTAATGGAGGCGAGGCTTAGATGGTTTGGGCATGTGTTGAGAAGAGGGAAAGAAGATGTAATTAGACGGGCTATGGAGATTAGAGACCCATAGACTCGAGCAGACACTCATAGACTCGCACAGAGACCGATTGGCTCGCATAGAGACCCACATACTGCTAAAAAGAACTATAGACTCATACAGAGATCCAGACTCACACAGCGAACTGTAGACTCATACAGACACCGATAACTCACATAGTGACTCATCGAGTCACATAGAGACCAATCCACTCACATAGAACTCCACGGAATCGCATGCAGGCCTCTGGATGAGAAGGGCTATGGAGATGCCACCGGCTGCAGAGCAGAAGGCGTCGAGGGAGATTGAGGGCAAGATTGGAGGACGTGGTGGAGCGAGATACAAAGAGGATGAGAGAAGAGGCGGAGGACAGAGGAATTGGGAGAACGGACGACGGCGTCGACAGGGCAGCGCGTTCTTCAATTTGCGGGCCGAGGCTTCTTCTTCTTCCCGGGTTTATTAAGTTGCGTCGTCGGCGTAAGTGCCGTGCTTACGAGCGGCTGCACTTGACTCGATAAATAAATAAATGACATCGCCGTACGACTTCAACGTCGGCGCTGCCAAGAAATGAAGTGGAACCCAAAATGTTCCGGTCTCGTGGGTCGTTGCGTGGTCGCGTAGAGTTTCACGAGCAGGTTAATGTGGTTCCAGCAGGTATGCGTGTGGGTACTTCCCGAGTTTATAATTGATCCTGTGACCGAATCGCCCAAAACAGCCAAGTTAAGTAGGATTTTGAGCCTGGCTCGTGCTTATATGAGTCACCACCAGGCCTTGCCAGCCGTTGTAGACACGAGGATAAGGGGTGGTCGAGAGAGATGGCAGGACAAGAATGGATTCTTAACTCCATCTGTGTAGATATTTGAGTTTTGCACCATTGTAAGCATGGGTTTCCTCCAAGTTCTCCAGTTTCCTCCCATTAGCCAAACTCTCATTGAGAGAATTGGCCAAGCATCCCAAGGGAAGTCACTCCAGAGTCATGAGACGCATCATATCTATTAAAAATCACTATCCGTTGCATCTCATACCAATCTTTCATATATGCTCTGTATATGCCCCAACTCGTACCTCTCCTGTATTGCTCTTCTGAATACATCTCTAAATATTTCTGTTTATTTATTTGATGTTTGTGGCTGGTGACCACAGGAGAGAGGGTCAAGGGCATTACTGCGAAGGTAGTTAATAGCCGTGGACGTTTTGTAAACGTGTGTCCGTGCCGTGCTCGGTCGGCTTGCTGCTCTTCCACGGTCACAATCCACGGTCACAATCCACGCACACACACGCAGCTGCTCAAGCCCAAGTGGCTCGTATACCTACCTGAAGTGACTGCGCTCAGTGCGGGCGTGTGGGCGTGCGGGTGGGACGTGTCCCACTGCCCAGGGAAGGGCAGCGTTAAGTGCCTTGTGTGGCCCGTGTTTTTGCTAGCAGCTCCGTAATGGTCTGCGGTGCAGACACAGCACTTCCAATCACGTCAACGCCAAAACAAAGCACTGTATTGTGTTTATTGCAAATACTCTGGGCTTATTGCGTTTTGGGAAGTGTGATGCATGACGGCGGATGAGCGAATGGCGTTCAGTCTGTAGGCTGGATGAGTAGTCCATGGCAAGGAAAGGTAAAAGGTAAAGACAACGAGCCTACCTTTACCCTACCTTTTACCCTTACCCCATACAAATTACCCGATTACAGGATATTTACTGGGGTACTACACATGAAAAAGGTTTATAACAGGTCAATGCGAGGTAGAGCGCTTTATTCGTATAGAATACTCTCGAATAGGAAGTTGAGGCTGTCGACGACACCGTCCTCCATAACCTCCTCGTCCCAGTCATCAACAACCTGATCAAGTTTGTCATTGCTGTTGTCCTCGGACAAACGATGGGCAATGAGATCCTGCGCCGCTCCGGCCCGGTTAGACGGGACCTTCAGGCAGCCGGCCGCGATCCACGAGCGCAAGCACACGGACTAGATGAAGAGCGTCGACGACAGCGTCTGGCGAGCGCACGTGAACTCCCGCCCGGCTCCGCTATTCGCACCTTCGCAGGGAGTTGACGTCGCCGGCGCTCCCAAGTAGTCGCAGGCCATCTTGTAGTGGGCGGGGAGCAGCTCTTTGCGGGGAGACCACCACCGCATTACGTCAATGAAGGCGCTGGCGGTCGTGACGCCCATGCTCAGAAAACTATTGACTTCATCGCCGTCGTCGACGGAGCTGCCGACGTTGCTGTACAGGGCGCTGAATAGCGACCCCTCCTCTATGTGGGCAGCGACTGCTGTCGGCGGGATCGCGAGCACGTCCGGGTAGCGATGCTGCAGGACGGAGCGGACCGTGGCCTTCAGTGTCGCCAGCTCATCTTGGTCTGTCGTAGTCGGCAGCTGTGGATTCAAGTAGGACGCCACAATGGCGGGTTCCTGAAACAGGAAGTCGCGGTACCGCACCAGCCCGGCCTTCATCCCCGTCGCTGTCAAGGACTCATTGATCGCTCTAAGAGCGACTTCACCGCGATCGCAATCACGGATCAGGAGCTCCATCGTCACCGGCACGAGATCCAATGTCGACTTGCGGTCCGCCGACAACGAGGTCATGACCTGGCGCGGCATTCGCAGGAATGCTGTCACGATGTTTGCCCACTGCATTTCAGAGAAAGCACTGACACCGATCACATCCTGGAAGCACGCCATGGTAATTTCCAATGGGACACACTTCTTGATGGCGCCGTGGCCCACGTCAAATGTCGAATTCCACCTGGTCGACGTGTCCTGGTGCGTCGGCTCCTTGCTGGCGAGCTTGGCGATCTCGGCCTCGCGGCGGTGCGACCGCCGGACGACCTTGCCGCGCCTGATATTGACGAGCGCCGATCTGGACCGAATGATCCGCGCAGCGAGTATGGTGGCAAGCCCGCAACTGCTCATATCTGACGTCCGCGTTGACCAGGGCGAACAACGTCTTGACAGCACTGGTCGCATCGGAGCTATTGTCGCTGGTCACAGCGAGCGGCTTGGTCGAAACATTGCGCCCGAGGCTTTGGAGGTGCTCAGACAGAGCGGTGCCATTGCGCTTGCCGACACCCCTTCCGGACTGCACATCGAGGATCGTCAGCAGCATGGATTTCGACGCACCAGATTTGGTGTCGATCCAGTGCACCATGACCACTCGTCGATGGTGAGCGAGATGGTGACGTTCAGGTTGGAGACGAACACCCGGCTGTGGGCGGCATGATGGCGTGAGACTCAACAATACTGCGAATGATGGTGCGGGTCGATGGGCCCTCGTATCCCTGCATCAATGTGTGGACCAAGGTCTTGAACTTGTCGCTGCTGGCGGCTCGCAAAGAAATTACACCTTGGATAACAAAATCAACCATTGCGTTCTCAAACTTTACCAGGAGGTGATCCAGGATTGCTAGCCGGCTCAGCGTTTGCCGCATTAGGCGGCTCGCCGACGCCGACGTCCCGACCTCGCTGCCTGGGGCGAGCACGTTGTGCTTCTTGAGGTGGGGCTTTCCACCCCGACATATTCGTGTGGGAGTAAAACCACTTGCGGCAGTGCACGCACTGCCGCTTTCCTTGCTGCACACGGACATCACCCTCCACCCAATCGTAGCGTGTGCTCCCACGGGAACGCATGCCACTGCCTCTTTCGATTGCTGTTCGCAGCGACCCTGGAAAAGCCATTGCTGGCATCCTCGACCTCATCCTCTAACTCAAGAACGTGGTCCGTCTCTATCTGGTCCGACATCAATGATCCCAATTTAAAATGGAGGCTACGGACTGCGCCACGGAGCTATTATCGAGCGGTAAACAAGGCACCGTATTTACCGGGTAATACTTTGCGCTACCTTTACCCTACTGGGTAATTCTTCCGCGCTACCTTTACCCTACTACCCTTTACCTTACCCCTTGGCATGGTTGACACCTTTACCCTTTTACCTGGTAAAAAGGGTAACTTACCTTGCCGAGGCCTACGGATATAATGTGGACACACGCAGACACACGCACGAGTTCTACAATGTTTACAACAAGACTGCCCTGGCTTCTTAAGTCTAAAGTAATGCAGAGAGTAAAATTGCTTGTTTTCTTCTAAAGAAGCTTCGAAAGGACCCATTTTATACAGCGGTTCATTCCGGTGCAGGCCACGAACGCTCGACCGTTGATTGAAGTGCGGCACAATGCGCCGTACATCCTGTTTCTAAAAGCCTCTGTTGGAGACTCCAACGCCGCTGCTAATGCCGATGGCCGGTGCTGCCCCCACGTTTTCGGCGAAGGGCCGCGCGGGATTTTTTTTGACGAGCTGCAGCGCGCGAACTGCCGACCACCGCCCCCCCCACCCCCCTCGCGAAAGACCGGCACAGGGGGTCAGAGGTGTCAGCGGGATGGTCATGGCTGCCGGAGACTTCTGACGCAATGTAAAAAAATCCGGCGCGTCGGCCCGAAGGCGTTCACGGGGCTCCGTATGGTCCTGTACTTTTTTTAATATGCGTGTGAGAAGATTATAATGTCGCCGCCGTAACTCGATGCTGATTTCTTTTGGATGAACTGAGCCCGCTGAGGGAACAGCAGACAAAGCAGCCCCAACATCCATTGAGAGATGGAATGCCTTTGTTTTGAGTGTACTGGGGGGGGGTGAGGCAGTGGTGGGGGGTGCGGGTTTGAGCGGAATGAGTGAGAGTGGGCGGTCAGAGCCTCGTGTTTGTTACGCGGCAGATTTAAAGACGGGTGGAGTCGCAGATGAATTGTGGGCTGGAACAATGCCTTTTATGATGACACCTGTCACAGGATAATTCCACTCTGGCAAAAAAAATCGTTCGGAGGAGATTTGATCGCTGTGGGCGACGGTAACCCTTCTCTCACCGGCCTTTGCATTTGTGCGCAATTGTTTTGCAGGCGAAAATCATCGTGCCGAACACCACCGCCGGGCTGATCATCGGCAAGGGTGGCGCTACCGTCAAGTCCATGATGGAGCAGTCAGGCGCCTGGGTGCAGCTCTCGCAGAAGCCGGAGGGCGGCAGCTTGCAGGAGCGCGTGGTGACGGTGAGCGGCGAGCCCGAGCAGTCGCGCCACGCCGTGCAGCTCATCGTCCAGAAGATCCAGGAGGACCCGCAGAGCGGCAGCTGCCTCAACATCAGCTATGCCGGCATCACGGGGCCCGTGGCCAACGCCAACCCCACCGGCTCCCCATACGCCAGCCCCGCGCCGGGCATCTCCCCAGGGGACGTGCTGCCCACCGCGGGGCTACTGGGCCACGCCGGCCTTGCCAACGTGGCCGCCTTCCCGACCGTGCTGTCGGGCTTCGGCGGAACCGACCTGGTGGCCATCTCGTCGGCGCTCAGCACCCTGGCGGGCTACGGCTACAGCCTGCCGGGGCCCGGGCTGGCGCTGGGCCTGGCGCCGGCCGCGCCGACGCCCATGTTCGGCTCCAGCCCGTCGGCGATGGCGGCGGCGAACATCCTCGCGAGCTACGCCAACGAGGCGGGCGGCGTGCCCGGCTCCGGGGGCGCCGCCGCGGCCGCGGCCGCGTGCGCCGCGGCGGCCGCGGCCGGCGGGGCCCCCGGCGCGTTCTCGCTGGGCGGCCTGGGAGCGGCGGGCATTGCCGCCAACGGCGGGTACATGGGCTCGGCGGCCACGCCGCTCATGGCCGGCGCTCTGCTCGGCGGGGAAAAACACGACGGTGGCAAGGACGCGCTGGAGATCGCGGTGCCCGAGAACCTGGTGGGCGCCATCCTCGGCAAGGGGGGAAAGACGCTGGTGGAGTACCAGGAGATGACGGGCGCCCGCATCCAGATCTCCAAGAAGGGCGAGTTCGTGCCGGGGACGCGCAACCGCAAGGTGACGATAACGGGGCCCCCGGCCTCGACGCAGGCCGCACAGTACCTCATCACGCAGCGCATCGTCTACGAGCAGGGCCTGCGCGCCACCAACCCGCAGAAGGTCGGGTAGCGTCGCGCTCCGGCTTTGGCCGTCCCATCTTTCTCCCACACCCCCCCCACGCATCCAACCCCATGTCTCAAACAACACCCATCGCCCCCTCTCTCCCCCCCCGTGCATCCCCCCCCTGTTATCCCACTCCTGCCTGCCAAACTCAAGATGTCACGTGTTTATTTTCTAAAATGGTACCTAACCGGTGCCTGGTGTGCGCTGCAACCTATTCTGAACAACAACAAAAAATGTTTAGCACAATGCAGTCCGATGCAGGGCAATGGCCGTGGCGGCGTTCCCGTCCGTCGCACAAAACAACTACGGCGGTTGCGCAATCGTACATTGCGTGTCGACGCTTTTCGTGAGGAGAACGGAGGGCAAAGCACACGACGAATTGGATTCCTCGGTGGCACATCGAACAGCTCGACCTGTTCCTGTTCGCAAACAAACAAAAAAACCGTTTGGAACCTGATGTCCAGGAATCGGCCACTTGAGCACCGATCGCTAAATGCAATTTTATGCTCGAGCGCCGAGCGTAGCGGGATACATCACCCCAGGCGCGCGACTACTCGAACCCAGTTTTGGAGTCTTTTAGGAAGTGCCGTCAGGGGCGAGGCCGGTGGGCCACCGCAGGCAGGCAGAGCCTCCTCCTCCTCCTCCTCCTCCGTTGAACGTGCGACACCGACAACTAATTTAATTTTCGTCACTGACTATTGTATGTAGAAAAATGAAGGCACCCTTATTAATAAGCTGCGTATTTTAATATATGCCCTTTGTGTGTGTGTTTTTGTTGAGCTCGATGTTATTGTTTATATACGTATGTGTGTGTGTGTGCGTATACAGTTTTAAGTGGCTACAAGCGCTCTTGACAAGTCTTATCAGCTTTAAGTGAGGCGTGCGAGGGAGGGCAAGCGTGGGGCCCAGGTGTTAATGCTGCTGGAAAGAAAGAAAAACAAACTCCACGCGCATCTTTCCGTTTCCCGATCATCGCGGCCGATTAAACAGCGAGAATACAGCAAGAGGAGGGTGGCAATAATTACTCAGCGGTTTGCCAAGACTATGGATGTTTACTCCATGTCGGTTTCAAGTGCAGCTGCATTGGACAACGTATGCATGCGACTTACATAGTAATTACAGAAAACAAAATATATATGTATAGTAATAACGATTACAATTTACAAACGTTTTAGGCATATTTTTAGAATGACCAAATGCGTTGTAGATAGACAGGTGATGTCGTTTTGTTTTCACTCGGATGTTAGTTTTTTTGCCGTTCGTCTTTGTTTTGAATGTACGTGGTTTAAAAAAAAAACAGATGTTTATTTGGATTTGTGCTGGGTATTCTTTTTGTTGTTGTTGTTGTGGCCAGGTTTTCAACGTCACGTCGATTCTTTTTGCGCTGTGGAGTCCTGCCGGTTCCCCCCGTCACACTTGACCCTGTAGCCGTGTTTAAAACGTGTGCAAGTGCCAACTGTACTGAAAATATATCTAGAGACAGTATTTTGATGTACAGTAAACTAGTTTTCATAGCTGTTCAACAACAACCCGTTTGAATTGTAGGATAGATTTTTGGTATGCGGAATCCGTATTATGCTAATATGTGCGATTGGTGTTTAAAACAAAAAAGTGGAATTTGTGTAATTGCATGGACATGGAATGCAAATGTGAGGGGTTTTTAATGTACGCCATAGGTGCACTATATGTGACATACAGCGAGCATATGTGAGTTGCCAAACTGCTTTTAAACGGAGAGAAATACTCTCACTCGCAGAGCAGCGGGCCAGCAGTCCCTCCGAGCCGCGCTCTCGAGCAAAATTCCCGTGCCCCATACCCACGAGCAAGGGCCGCGTGCCGCGTGCCATGCGAACGTCGCCCGCCACCGAATTCGTCCGGTCGCCGCGACGATCCGAAGGTCCCCTCCCTTCGGTGCGCCCCCCCCCCCCCCCGCCGCTCCCCCCAGTGTTAATATGTAACTATGGGTCTCTCGGAAATGTCCACGTCGTTGGCATTAGCGCCGTCGTTTAATTAATCGTTTCTCACATCCCGCCCGAGCGCCGAGCCCCGCAGGGGGCTGGCCTTGGCTCGCGCTGCCGAGGTTGCAACGTTCCGAGCGAACGTTCGCCCGGCACCTGTGAAGCCGCGCGATGGCTTGCCTGCTTTGCGTGTCGTTCCACTTCACTCTGCGGCGGTGGGGGGGGGGGGGGTGGGCAGGAACAGCGCAGCCTCCTCGCCCAGGGCTCCATCGCCCGTTCGTCTCAACGGGCGTAGTAGCAGTGTTGATGCTTTCATTACGTAACGTGTGCAGCGCAGTGTAGTTTCCCACGTGGCAGCAGAAGCGGTCTGCCGAAAGGGATAGCGGCGAGCGTAAAACATGGAGCAAGAAAAACGTTCTGAGGCGACCCATAGTTGCATATTCACTCATGGGCCGCGTGCAGTCGATCGCTCAGCGGGGCCCTCTTTTAATTGCTCTCACGATTTGTCTTAACGCTGTGACTTTTTCCAGGATCTTGTTGTGTCGTCGGCTTAAGCTCTATGTTCCCGTTAAGCCCAGCATCGCCGTAGTTAGCGTATTAATCTAAAAAAAATACAATTTATCTGCCGTGACATTTTCCCAGACCACGCTTAACCGAGCTCGTTTGCAGGGAGTGCCGTTAGCCAGCGGTGCTCGACGCAGCTTTGCCAAACGCATTTAATGTGCGGAATTTTACCATCGGCGGTGTGTGCATGTTCGCCTGCTTAGAAGTATTTCTGAGAAAAAAAAGTATTGTTTGTAACTTTTAAGTGGAGTATGTGAAATAATATTTAACTGGGTCTGTACGACGTGCACTTTCTCTCCATGCTCTATTACTTCATCATTATACTACTTACAAAGCAACGTTACTGAAATGCAGAGTTGTATAAAACTAAAAAAGAACTTTACTTGAATTTCTCATTCCACAGCTGAAATGACCCCCCCCCCCTCCTCGCCACCCTGTCATTGCCCCTTGCCTTTCCGTGCCCCCCTCCCCACACCTCTCCTCCCTGCCCCCCCCCCCTCCTTCAAAACAGGAAGATGAGTTTACATTCTTCATAGTTAGAAACAAATGAAGCTCCCACGTGGTCAGGTTGTCCTAGTCTCCATTTCTTTGAAACAAATTGTGGCAAACGATTTGTTGATACCATTTTTCATGTAACTCCTGACATCTGTGAGGCGACGTTTCTCATTTAGCCTTTAAATTATTTAACCACTCTTAATCAAGTCCGGACAGTGATTGAGGAGTTTGTACCATGCTAGTGTTTTTTTGTGTGTGTGAAACTGTTGGAGTTGAATGCTGTAGAGGATATTTCTATTATACTCATTATCATTTATAAATATGTGCTTTTGTCCATCGCATCACTCTGTGTCTCCTGTCTCATTTTTATCTCTGCCTGTCGCAAGCCTCACGGTCCATCCACTCGGGTCCTAACTGAGCACCTTCAACATCCCACAGCGAAAAGTTGCTCCGTCGGTCCATCGTCTCGCGCCGCCTGCCGCGCCACCACCACCCCCCCCCCCCAACTCCTCTCCGCCCCCCACCCCCCCCCCCGCTCGACCGCAAATTGCTCACCCCCTTTCACCCAAGGCTCGATTTGCGCGAGATTTTTTCTTTTTTTGGACAAAAACGAGCGGTACGCAAAAACAAAATAAAACAAGAGGGGACGCGAAGTGGAAATTTTCAAACCCATCGCCGACCGAGACTTCGGGTCGGCGATGTCGACGGGTGGCCACAGCAACGGCGAGGCGGTAATTCGACACAGATGGGGCAACTTTGATTCCACGAGAGAAATAAAATAGCATGTAAATAAAAACACGCATGGTAGTTGATTCCACACATATATGTTTGTTTTGGGTTACCACTGACTTGGAGCGGGCAGCCAAGTGCCTCCTCCCCCCTCCCCCACTCCGCCCCCCCCCCCAACTCCCCCCCCCCCCCGCGTGTCACGGTGACCTTGTCCCCACCACCATCGTCAAGGTGTAACCTCATTCTCAGGGTTGTGCCCTTCCATGCTGTGCTTTTTTGACCGGTCCAGCTGGGTGGCCATCAGCATGCGTCGTTTTTTGAGGGATGCGGGGGGTGTCCTCCACCGCACCGCGGGGACCCCCCCCTCCCCCCACTCCTCCAACCTTCACACTCCGCGACCCCCCACCCCACCTTTTTGCACCCCTGCATCCCCCTTTTTATACTAACGCAACATGGTTCCTGCACAACCTCTCCATCCATGAGGTGCCCGCCCCTCCCTCCCTTGGTCAGGCATCTCCTCCCGCATGGTGACGATGATGATGATGATAGTGGTGATGGTGGTGGTAAATGGTGGGAGAGAAAGCAGCAGCAGAAGCAGGCAGTGTAGCCAAGGGTAGCGTGCGCCGTCAAGCTGCTGTTGTCGCCGCCGCCGTTGCTGCTGCTGCTGGTGGTGGCACCCAGATGGCGTGGCGGTGGTGGGGCCCTTCCCGTGAGGGGGATATTCCTCAACGCCCAACTCACGCGCCACGCTTAACCGTGGCGGCACGCGAACCGCGCCGCGTGCCCGGTCCCCGCTGTGCCGGTGCTCGTGGCCTGCCTGTGTGTGTGCGCGCGTTTGATGCCGCGCGTGCGGAACCTTGGCCCGCGGCGCGTCTCACGGCGTGTCCCGCCGGGCTCGGAGCGTTCCGCGCGGGGGAGGGGGGGGGGGGGGGGCAGGGGCCGGGGGGGGGTTTGCTTTGTGTGGCCGTCCGCTCCGCCGAGTGAGCGACGCAGCGAGGAAAGTTTCGTTCAATTTGATTCGCCTAATTTATGCAGCGCGTCATGTCGCATTGCACATTATTTATGGTTCGGTCGTACAAACGTAATTTTCATTGGCAGTCAGCCGATAGGTTAGTTCGTGTTTGATTTTAAGTGCAATATTCTGTTTGGTTTTTTTTTAGTTCGATTTGAAAGGGATTACCTCATTCGCATATTTTCCGTGTTTGCACTCCTATCATTTGCAATTTTTAAAAGTCGTTTCGGGGGAATAGCGCCGACCCGCATGATTAGGCATTCAGTATTTACGCTGTTCGCAGGACTTTTTATTTATCTTGTAAACTCGAGGCAGCTGTACAGTGTCCGTGGAGGAAGAGCCGGTGTATATATTTGTTACTCCAAAGACTTTATTTTTTGTACTTAAATAAAATATAAAGAACTCACCCATGGTACATGTGCAGTCTAATTTATAATTGGTCCTTCAAGGTGGAGTCGCTCCCAGGATCGCTCCCGTTCACGCTTTAAAACCGCCACCCCCTTCTTTCTCACGTCCCCACGATGGAGGCGAGCCCGTGGCACCAAGTTCAAGCCAGACAGCGATGGGAGGCAAATTCTTCTCTCTCCGATAACCCACGGATTGCCGTTTGCTTTGACCCGGCGTCTGACCTGCCGCACGCTTGACAAGCCTGGCGGCCTGCGCCCGTGGCCCACGTGCAAATTGGCTTGCGTCGGTTTCTGCGAGACTTGTCGCTTAAATGCTGGCGTCGACTGAATTGGCACCGGCCGACCGGTGCCGAAGCTGATTTATGGGGCACAAGTGACACCACGTGCTCCGCGCGAAGACGGGGAATTCAGTGTTTGTCCGTGGATCATCAAGAGGCACCGATTCAAAAACTTAATAAAAACACAAACACACACACAAAACACTGTGTTATTGACCTGCGTGTCTGTGCTCTTTTGGTTGAGCTGAGAATCGATGATGGTTTTACTTGCGGAGAAATCTCGCCACATCTGTCGGGTCCCACTGGCGCCGTTAATTAACCGGGCGTGCGGGCGTTACACAAACTCTGCGCCCGGGGTCGTGTGTTTATGTTGCAGCGCGAAGCTCCTCGGTTGTGCTTTATCCGTAATTGTGGAATTGTGTCTTGGATGAAGTGGTTGCGGTCATAAAAAAGCAAATGTTCCACGTGTCACAAAATCATGTCCATGTTTTTTACCCCCCCCCAGTAAACTGCGGTGAAATATCCACTAGGGTTTTACGACAATCGAGGACTGCAGAGATGAGTCGTGCAATGCTATTTGGAAGCTCTGTGTCAATCCACTGCTAGATGAAGACCTCTCAATACCGTGTCAGCCACTTCACCTGGCTGGTGAATGTGTGGGTTTGTGAAGGGGAAGGGAGGGGGGGGGGGGTCTCAGGACTGGTGCAGATATCATTCGTGGTAATCAAACTCATGTCACTGGATGAATAATCATTGCGCTAATCGCTGCACCACCGCTCCATCCCACAACGCTGCAATGCAATCTCAAATTAGGTACAAACAAGAATTGGTCCATGCACAGCAGCAGCCCAATGTCATTCATTTCGTTTCTATCTCTCTGGCTGTTCACATGTAATTACGGTTTGTCAATTTGGCATTGTGCAGTGCAAGTTTACGCTTTGCTGAGAACGGCTTTCATCTGCTGCCTCTCTTGCTCGCGATCCCCTGCAGGGTCATGTGCCTTATGAGAATATAGGATGATGGCGATGATAGTGATGATGGTGATGGTTTCGCTCAGTGGTTTTGCAAAAGCCTTAAAATACGCCGGACATTTCGGAGCGCCTTTGTGAGTCTTGCGCCTTTGTGGGTGACCTCATTCGGAACAAAAAAAAAACACAACGACCATGCTATCGTCCTGGAGTTCCAACCGAAATCAGATTAATCGGTCGTGGCCTGGTTTGGCACGCAGTGCTCACGAATGAACGGCGCTTGGGCACGTGTTTGGATAAAGTCACAAGAGCCGGGGAGGATTACTCCACGCTTGTAAAAATGCATCTCGAATTGGAAATTAAACCGAATATATATGTCCCCAGAGAAATGAAACCGGCCAAATCCTGCTTTTAGAGCAAGATTTTTTTCTCTCAAATCCCAGTCGTGCCCGCCTGCCGTCGCGTCTCTCCACGCGTCACATCTTTCCGCGGTCACCAATCAACTGATGAATGTGCGCAGGAGGGCATCGCTGATTTGCATTTGCAAGGGTGACCAATTGTTAAGCGTGGATGGGGGCGTGTGGGTGCAAACGCTGAGGTTTCTGACAGCCCCCCCTTTGCCCCTGTGGAGAGCACGACGCTATGGTTGCTTGATTACAATTAACCCTGAGCCCCCACCTCCCACCCCCGTGCCCAGCGACCGGCAGTCAAAGGAACGCACACCGCGCACAGAACCCCCGCTGTGCCGAGATAATCGATATGACACCGAATCAATGAGAACGCGCATGGGCGGAGGATTTATGCGCGACGCGAAGGACGCGTCTGGTTCAGAGCAGGGGTTTCATTAGCCCCCTGATCAGACCTCGCGCTTAACTCCCCGACCTTTGAAACAGCTCTGAAATGGAATCGCAAAAGCATTGCTTGATGCCGGGTTATCAGGGACGGCGTCTTGCGCCAGCCAGCGCGGTGGCGAAGACGGGGAATGCGCGTGGTGCTGTGCTCAGCAGGTGATACGTGTGTGTGTGCGTATGTGTGTGTGTGCGCACACAGAAATGAAAAGAAGCCACTGCGAGTGGTCACATGGAATATTCGAACGGTCACTGCGGAGGAGAGGCTGCTGCTCATCTGTCAGTAGCTGGACTGGTACCGCCTGGATCCCTGTGGTATTCAGGAGGCCTGGTGGACTGGCTCTGGCCCCAGTCACCATGAGGGGTGGACAGTCCTCTACTCGGGGCAGGAGACTGCCAAACAACAGGGAGTGTCTCTCTCTTCTGAACAAGAGAATGAAGGCGGTGTGGGAGCGTGGCGGTGAGGTGTGGGAAGCTGTAAGCCCCAAACTACTGTAAACTCGCCTCTCCATCAACCAGAGGCGAGGAGTGGTGGTGGTGGTGGTTGCTTATGTCCCCACCGAAGATGAACATCAGTTGAGGGATGCAGGCAAGGCCAATGAGTCAGATGCCTTCTATGACCGAATGGGTCATGATGCTGGCACCTGGGTTGGAGTGATTGGAAGGCACGGGCCAGATCAGCTTGTAATCATCAACACGCTGTTTCATCATCGGCGCCTCCACACAACATCATGGATGTAGGGTCCAAGCAAGAACATCTGCTGGTCTATATAATGACGGAAGAGCAGATGCGGGCTCATGTCCTTGATACCAGGACCTACCGTGGAGCTGATCTGCCCTCTGACCATCGACTGGTCATCTGTAAGATGGGCCTGCCATTTTTCCACTGGTGGTGGGTGTCCATCTAGGACCCCATTCAAACCCACAGTGGCCTGGTCTCAGCTAGCTGATGAAAGTTGCAAGCGAGAATTTCATTACCGCTTGCAGCTGGGGTTGGCATCGTCCACTCCCCCTCCTGATGCCGAGGGAAAATGGGCGAGGTCTAGTATTGTGGCTCATGCAGCTGCGATGGCTGCTTTGGGTACACAGTCCAGACCTCCTCAGAAACCATAGCTGACAGAGGAGGTTTTCCAGCTGGCTGAGAGAAAGCGACAGGCCCACTCCCAACGTCTCAGCATGCCACGTTGGAGAATGATGAGGCTTACCGCAGCATTCGCTTGGAGGTTTGGAGAGCGGTGCGACACTGCAAGGATCAGTGGTGGTCGCGGGTTGCTGAGGAGATGGAATCTGCTTCAGTAGCTCGCGATCACAAATCACTCTTTAACTCTATCAAAAAAGTAACTTGCAGTATCACATGTATCACCATCCTTAGGGGAAAGAAAACGTGATCCGATCTCCGATCCCCAGGAACAGGTTTGCCGATTTGCTGAGCAATTCTATGAGGTCTTGGGGAAGGGGAAATCCCTCATTGAAAAAACATCATGGGTCAAAGTGGGAATGACCCTGTTTCTGTGCCTCAAATATTGGAAGAAGTAGTCACTCCCTGTGAGTGACTGGCTGAAGTGCCATCTGTTGAGGAAGTACGGAAGGTGACCCGCAGGAAAAGCGCCAGGCAGAGATGATCTCCCAAGCGAAATGCTGAGGGAGGGTGGCGTTTGTGTGCAGACTGCCCTATATGACATCATAATAAATCTCTTGACCACTGGACGAGTTCCGCAGGATTTGAAGGATGCCCTGGTGGCCGCTCTCTTTAATGGAGACCGCATACACTGTCACAACTACAGGGGCATCTCCCTCCTCAGTGTGCCGGGAAAGGTCCTGGTAAGGGTTGTTCAACATCACCTTGCCAGGAACGCTGAGGAGAGGCTTTTGGAGTCCCAATGTGGTTCCTGGCCAGGGTGGTGCTACACAGATGTCATATTTTCTGTCCATTTGCTACAATAGAGGTGGAGGGAATTCCAACAGGTCCTACATCTCTGCTTTATTAACCTAGTCAAGGCCTATGATACCATCAATAGGCCTGGGCTCTGGGTTGTTTTTCGTGCTTTCGGGGTCCCTTACTCTCTACTCACAATCAATAAGGGCATTCATGATGGTGGGCAGGTCCGGGTAAAGCTAGGTGGCCGGGAGTCGGAGCCATTCTCTGTTTACTTTGGGGTGCGACAGGGATGTCCTCTGGCTCCCACATTTAACATCTTTTTCGAACACGTAGTTCGAGAAGCCTTCCATGGCTTTACTGGAGGAATCTCCATCTGCTACAGATACAATGGGAGGCTGGTCGATGCCCGGATTCGGTCGAGGGATAGCTCTCTACTTGTCAACCATGTTATGTATGCTGATCATTTGGTGATTGCTGGTTACTCGGAGGAGTTGGAGGCGCTGCCGTTAGACCTGAAGCATGCTACAAAGAGCACCTGCCTGGGTATTTTGTGCACCAAACACTCCATCCATTAACTCCCCATTGGTGATGGGGCAGTTGTGGAGAGAGTGGAGAGTTGTCCATACCTGGGTAGTGTGCTTATGACCACCTCTGGTTTGACAGCAGAGGTCTCACTCCGAATGAGTTGAGCGGCATTATTTTTTCATCGGCTGCATAACGCTGTGTGGAAGCTACCTGGTATATCACTCCACACGAAGCTCCTGGGTCTTCTCAGCCACGGTCACGCCCTCCCTTCTCTATGCTTGCGAAACGTGGACCCCCCTAATGGAACATCTTCGCCGGTTAGAAACATTCAGGCTAGCCTGCCTAGGATGCATCTTGGTTTTAACCCGGCTGGATTGTCTGAGTAGTTTACAAATCCTCGAATGATCTGGACAAAGTCCCATCGGTGAGCTCCTCCGGCAGGCAAGGCTGCGTTGGCTGGGTCATATAGCCCGCATGCCCAGCCACCGCATGCCGAAACAG